TACCCTTATATGTTGGTTCAGGAAGTGTGCTGCCTGCCCAGAGCCTGAATCTGAGACATCATAGAAAGGTTGTTGAGACTCATCAGGTCATCTGACTACTATCCCATACTCCTTATCAATTTGATCACTAATAATACTGTCCAGGAGCAACTTTGAGCAGGTCAAAAGAGACTACATGGTTCCTGGTGCAAGGGTGAAGGGGGCCAGGGGCCCAAGTGGTGTTCTCACTTGATCTTTGTGGTTAAGGGTAAAGGTCTGGCTTAAGCGTTAAGGAGCAGATGCATCCTTGTGATCAGCATTTTTTTCCCCCTCAGGCATTCCTAGATGCCTTTGCCAAGCCGTGGGGGTCATCATAGACCACAAGGTGAACACGAGCCTTCAATGTGATGCTGCGGCTAGTAAAGCGACCAAAACGTTGGCTTGCATCCATAGATGCTTCTCAGGCAAATCTTGGAACATAATTCTCCCCTTGTACTCAGCCTTGGTGAGGCTGCAGCTGGAGTACTGCATCCTGTTTTGGGCTCCACAATTCAAAAAGGATGCAGAGAAGCTTGAGAGAGTCCAGAGAAGAGCCATGCTCATGATCAGAGTTCAGGAAAACAGACCTTATGACGACAGGCTGAGAGCCATGGGACTCTTTAGCCTGGAAAAGCGTAGGCTCAGGGGTGATCTGATGGCCACCTATAAGTTTATCAGGGGTGACCACCAGTACCTGGGGGAACATTTGTTCACCAGAGCACCCCAAGGGATGACGAGGTCGAACGGTTATAAACTCCTGCAAGACCGTTTCAGGCTGGACATAAGGAAGAATTTCTTTACTGTCCGGAATAGCCTGCCATCAGAGGTGGTTCAAGCACCTACATTGAACACCTTCAAGAGTAAATTAGATGCTTATCTTGCTGGGATCCTATGACCCCAGCTGACTTCCTGCCCTTTGGGCTAGGGGCTGGACTTGATGATCTTTTGAGGTCCCTTTCAGCCCTAATGTGTATGAAATCTATGACATTTTAGCACTCCTGCCCCCCTTGGTATGCAATGGGACTGACTCCCTTTGAGCCCAGAGAATTATCTCCTTGAGGAACAACCACCTGTCTTGGACTCCCATCTCATTGAAGCTCTGAGACCCCAATGCCTCTCCTACTTACCTTAGCTCATTGAAGTTGGCCTTCCTGAAGTCGAAGACAAAATTTTGCCTTACTGCTTGCTTTCATCGCCCTGTGCTGAATAGTAAATTCCAGCAGGTGATGATCTCCCAGGTGGTCAAGTACCTGCAGACCCCCCCACTTCCAGATCATCGCCTGTGGCAAGGACCAAGTCCAGCAAGGCATTTCCCCTGGTGGGACTACACACCTCCTGGGTTAGGTGGAGGTCCTGTATCCTGGCTAGGAACCTACATGAGCAGTCAGACCTGGCTGACTGCTCCTCCCAGCAGATGTCTGGGTAATTTAGGTCACCCATGACAACCACATCCCTTGACTTTACAGCCTCCGTGAGCTGACCTGAGAATTCCAGATCCAGCTCATCCCCTTGGTAAGGCAGTCTGGAGCAGACGCCCACTATCAAGTCCCTTTCCCCATGACCCCCTTGCATTCTTACCCAGAGCGCCTCAGTTTGCCCCTCCTCTGACCTCATCCTGATCATTCGAGGATATGTATTGCTCTTGGATGTAGAGCGCTCCACCCCCTCCTTTTTTTTTTTCCTGCTCTGTCTCGCTTGTACAACCTATAGCCCTCGATGTCCACTGTCCAGTCGTAAGTAGAATCTTACCAGGTCTCTGTGAGCCCCACTAGGTCTGGATTTTTGCTAGCTAGCAGGAGGGCGAGTTCCTTATTCCCCATGCTTCAAGCATTTGTGTAGAGGCATTTGAGGCCTCCTGTGGGTGCATATGCCAACCCCTTGTTCTTAAGCCTGCCCTGGCCTCTGTCATTTACCTGGGTACTACCTGCATGCATCCCCGTCCCCTGGCGAACCTAGTTTAAAGCTCGTCGTACGAGAGCAGCCTGGAAGAAAAAACATGCTTACCTCTTGGGGAGAGATGAAGCCTGTCCCGTCTGAGCATGTCCTCTGTGCAGAAATGTGGGTCATGGTCCAAGAACCCAAGGCCCACCCTGTAACACCAGCTCCGAAGCTGCCAGTTGCCCTCACACGTGCATGGCTTGTGGCGCCGTCCGCATCTACTCACTAGGAGAAAACCAGCTGCGTCCCTGTCTCCTTGAGCTTGGCCCCCAGAGTCTTATAGTCTCTCATTACGCAGTCCGGGCTGCTCCTGGCCGCATCATTTGTTCCCACGTGAATGAGGACCATGGGATATTGATCAGGGGGTCGGACGAGGTCCGGGATCATCTCCGTGATGTTCCGAGTCCGAGCTCCAGGCAGGCAGCAAACCTCACGTGCTATGGGATCAGGGCAACAGATGGGCTCCTCGGTTCCTCTCAGGATAGAATTGCTGATGGCGAGGACCCGGCGTCTCCTCCTCTTGGTGTTCTGGTATCGCTCAGTCTGTGCTGTGCATGGAGTGGCGTCGGCTCCTCTGGAGGCATCCTCACCTCCCGCCTTCTCCACGGCTGCCAGGGCCTCGTACCTGTTCCCCAGCTCTACCTGGGGAGCTGACACTGTGGTAGCACAAGTAGCCCTGGCTTGGGAGGTGACCGTCTGCTATACTGCTGTGTAGGGTCTCTCCTGAGGGGCTTCTCCACTAGGTTCCTGACCCTTCAGAGAACAAAAGTACCCATCAATTTTGTCCTCAGCAGCCCTGATTCCCCTTAGCCTGCTGACCTTGGACTGGAGCTCCCTCACCTGCTCCTCCAGCGCCCAAAGGTGGACACAAGAGGGACAGACGAGGGGACTCCCACTCCCCTCTCCCACCCCTGGCTGCAGGGTCCCCACCAAGCTGCCCCTGCAGATGGGGGGGCGGGGGGGGCAGCAGGGTACTGCTGCTCCCACCCCCCATGGGCCCTGTCTGGGTGGAGGCATCAAAGGAGTTTTTGCCTCTTTTCTTGGAGGGTTTTCTTGGAGAGTGCTGGGGAAAACTATTCGATAGGTATCCTAGAGAGACCAAGTAGTAGGGAACACCTCTTGATTTTGATGCTCATAAACAGGAAGGAGTTGGTTGTGAAGGTGGAAGGAAGGTATATTGGGTGATGGAGACCACGACATTTTAGAGTTCAAGATCCTAAGGGGAGGAAGGAAGAGGAGTAGTAAAATAAAGACACTGGATTTTAGGAAAGCAGACTTTAACTAACTTGGGGAACTGATGGGCAGGGTTCCCTGGGAGAAGCCCAGAGGGGCACGGGAGAAGTCCAGGAGAGCTGGCTGTACCTTTAAAGAGGCCCTTTTAAGGGTGCAGAAGCAAGCTATTGTGATTGACAGACTAATTGGAAGTGCAAGAGGAGACCACTCTGGTTAGACAGTGATGTCCTAAATGTGTTTCTGAAACTTGAAAGAATCCTTGAAAAAGTAGAAACTTGGTCATAGTACTAGGGAAGAGTTTAAGGGTGGGAACAGACTTCAACTTTCCTCACCTTTGTGCTGCTAGAAAAAAAATTATGGCAGCACGAAGACGAAGCAAACAGATATCCATACCTCTTGCTGCACTAGGGAAAAGTATGAGAATTGCATGGGCATGCAAAGAGAAAACCAGGAAAGCCAAGGCATAACTTGAGATGTAACTGGAAGGGGAGGTAAAAAGTAATAAAAAGGGATTCCACAAGCATGTCAGGAGAGGAAGACCAAAGAAAGTTTCAGGCCCTCATGGAATGTGGGAGGCAGTTTAATTACAGATGATGCAGAAACGGCTAAAGTGCTTTTCTCCTTTCTCCCCCCGTGTCAGTCTTCATGAATAAAATCAGTTACTAGATAACAAGCATAGTTGGTAGCAAAGATTGGGAAGGATTTGAACAGCCTTAGAGTAGTAGAAGAACAGGTTTGAGATTACTTAGACAAGGCAGATACTTTCAGAGGGCACAGCTGGATGGGCTATTCCCTAGGGTACCAAAGAAATTGGGGGTTATAGTAAACAATAAGCTGAATATGAGTTGACAATTTGTCCTTGTTGTGCGAAACAAGAAAAGAGAGAACCTAGCAGCATGCTGGGCTGTATTAACAGGAATGTGTCTTGCAAATAAAGGAAAGTCTTCTCTCCCCCTCAGCAGACATTCATTTGGTGGGTGTAGGGGGGAATCAAGGTCCACTTTGAAGTTGATCCATTGGAGAGAGGCTGCCTGCTGGCAACCTCTCTCCCTTAGCCCCCTTCCTCTCCTCCCCCCCCTTCCCATCTCCTGTGCTGTCTGCAGGATGGGATGGGAGAGAAGTTTTAGGTTGGGGTTTACCCAGCCTGAGCTGGAGGCAGAGGGTGCTTGAGGGAGGGCAGGGGCTCCAAGGCAGGTAGGACTCCAGTCCACTTACCTCCCTTCCAGCTCAGGCTGTGTAAACCCCAGCCCAGAGCATCCTTCTCCCCCCTCCCATCCTGCAGACAGCACTGGGTAGTCGGAAGTTAATGGAGATGCTCCACTTTGGAGTGCCTTCATTTGAACCCTTGTTAGATGAGGGTTAATTTGTTGCACTATCGGGCACTTAAAGCGCTCAGCAGCCATGCACTTCCATCAGGCCACATCTATAGAGTGCTTTCAGGGGGCCAATCGCACAACAAATGTCACTTCTGTCAGTGCCCATTGTGTCCATTTTTGGGCCCTGCACTTCCAAGAAAGTTGTGAATAAATTGGAAAGAGTCTAGAAACGTTGCCCGGTTGGCTAAGACAGTCTTTAAGTTGGGTAGGAAATGTTAAAATTTCTGCACTAGAGCATAGGTAAACAAGTAAAAGAAGTGAAAATGACTTGGAATAAAAATAAAAAGAATACAATCAAAATTCTTTATCCTTAATACTGTGTTATAAGTTTGATCATAATGCAGTGATGTGTGATAAAACATGTTGAAAGGAGACTTCCTTTTTAATCCATGCTTTGTAGGGTAACTGGCCTTCTAAATCTTTCTTATCATGTAGGCCTTTGGCATCTCTTCCGGAGAGAATTTTGTTATCACAACTACTAACAGACAACAGATTACAGAGGACAACTTTAGTAAGTATGTTGTATTAAGTACAGCTGTATAGTCATTGATCATGTGTCCAAACATCCTTCTTGCAGAATTTATTCCTGTTTCGGACATAGGTGGAAGTCCTATTACATACTAAAATCTCAAAAATGGTCTTGAAAACTGATCCACTCTGAAACACGTTCTACATAGCTTAATGTGGTGATGATTTCCATTACTCCTCAGTTCAGGCAAATTCTTTTTCCAGAATAAACCTTTGCCATAGTACCTTTTTTCCCAGTACCTGGGTTCTAGAAAGTTTAGCATTTACTTTGTTTTTTAAATGACAATTCTGAGTATATCTTTTACAGGAAAACTCTACAAAAGACTTCCCACAGTACTAGAAGCTTAGTCTGTTCTCTGATTGAAAGAAAAGTTTAGCAAATTGCACTTGGGATTCATAGGGATTATTTTGTAATTCTATAGTAAGTATGCAGAATGCTTGTACTATAACATTAGCCAATGAGAAATCTTATAAATTTGAAACAGGATTTCTAATTGTGGAAATTTGTGGATTCTAGCTGTGTCCAGTTTAGTCCATAGTTGTGCTGAAACAGGCTGAAGCAGTGGCTCTGGCAGCCACAGCAGTGAGCCCTGCAGGCTAGGATAGGTAGTCCAGCCCACAAGAAGCCCTGTATGTTTGATGTCCGTGCTATAGAGCAATAAGCCTTCAGGACTCCTATGTAAAGCCTGTCTCTGTTAAATATTGAAGTAGCAAATGAAAAATCTATGAAGAACTACATGGCAGCACAGAGTGCTCAAGTGTCTGGAGTTTTGAGAGAGGGTGCTTTTTTAAGCTAATAGGCTATCTTGATGACTGTTGGACTCCTTTTACATGAAGGCATAACAAACAGTTTAGAAAGGCTGCAAGAGACAACATATTTGTTGTGTCCTTCTGGGACCACAGGAAACTTGGAGCATGTAGACACTGGATTGGGACCCAATGCAAGAGTCTAATTATCCAAACGAGAGCTTTGCCATAGCTATGGCAGCAATATAACTGTTCTTTAGGTTGCTTAATTCGCTGACTTGTGGTCAATAAATAATTTTACTTCTGTATTAACTAAAAATTAAGTTTCTTGAAGACTTAAGAAAAGTACCAACCGTTTTGCTATAACAGGATGATTTCCATACTAAACATGAGGGCACTTTTGTTTTAGATTCTTCGTAGAAAAAAAGTAAAAACTCTAAGCTTGAAGTTTGAGACTACTGTAGCCTTAAAGTAGTTTCCAATGGGGAATTCTCACTTTACATCCTGTCCCCCCAGGCTTAATAGAATAAGTCTTAAAATTAGCTTCTCTTTTGCCAGGAATGAGTTTTATCGATTAGTGGAGAAAATAAAGGGAATATAGCAGCAGCAAAGTCTAAGATTTTTGGGCACCATTTGGCTGATGTCTGGGGAGCTTTACCCTTGTATTTAGTATTTTTCTTTTTTCCATTACAGATGAGGTTGTTCAAGATGGGGTCACTTTATATTTGCTCCAGTCAGTGGATCAGATGCTACTTTCAGCAACAAAGGAACGAATTGACTTCCTACCACACTATGACACGCTTGTCAAAAGTGGCATGTATGAATACTATGCCAGTGAAGGGCAGAATCCTTTGCGTAAGTATCTAAGTTTTCTTGATTGAAGTACTAACGTTTATTTTGCCTCAGAAGTACCTCTAAGAAATGTCTTGTCTTGTTAATTCTTCTTGTGTGTTTGTTAAACTTAATTCGTGGACATTCTGACCTTTATTTGAAACCCTTTTAAACTGTAATTCTGTTTGTGTTTGAAAAGTGGAACCTCAAGATGCTGTTTTTTTGAGTCAGTCTTACTGTGCTTCAGTAGAAGTTTTTTTTGCAGATAAACCAAAGAACTGGAGAAAAAAAAAAAAAGCTCTTTCTGGTTCCTGAGCTTCTTGAAAGATTCTGGAAGCTAAACTTAGTTAATTGGGATGTTATTCAGGCTCTTGTTGTGCTTGCTGTTCCATCTTTGTTGCTTCTCCAAGGGTGACAGGAATAAAAATTGTAGATGATGACTTTTTTATTTGTACAGTAACTAGCTGTACTCTAATACAGTATACCTACATTAGCGTACAGTAGTTATCTTTTTTGATTATTGCATTTCAAGGTAGAAATCGATTTCTGTCCCAGACTTATTAAATGTTACTAAAGTTTAACTTTTTCAGTACTTATGATGTCTAGCTTTTCTAAATTGTGTTTTGATTGCTACTTGTTGGGGAGTGCACGGTATAACATACAGCAGCCTTCATAGAACTTTCTAGAAATACATGTGCACTTTACCTTGAACAGAAAATTCTGCATTGCAAAATAACTCAACTATTTTTTATTTCTTTCTACCTACTTGCAAACAATAATTACCCACAATATTTTGAGTTGCCATTTACCTGCCCTTTCCAGAGATTTTATAGGTTAACTGTGTCAATGATTATTGTTATAGTAGGGATATATAGAGGATAAAGATTAATTCATGGTAGTCCTGCCTCTAACGGTGATTGATCCCAAATGTTTTAGTGGAAGGTAATAGAACCCTCCCATAAGTAGTTACTTTCTCTGTGACAAAGTTTCTTCCTAAACCTTGTTACAGATTATCATACCATATTTATGCAGTTCCAAGATAAGATTTTCTTCCCCCCGTTCAACATGAGGAAAACAGGAATTTATCTTAGAATTGAGTGTGGGACTGCTTGAGGCAGGAGCTATGGGGAGCAGTGGTATATTCTGCTGATCTGGTTGTGACAGAGCTGCTCTTGTCCCATGCTGCAGGAAGCAGTGGTGTAGGGAGGCCAGCTCAGTGAGGGACAGCAGTGGCACTGCTAGGGCTTCTCCTTCTAGGGCTTACTCCTAGCCTGGCTCCCCTCCCCTCTCCCTATCCTGCCAGGAGCAGGTGGAGGAAGGAAGAACCTGTATGCCACTGTGTGGCAGCAGAGCTCGCTTGGCTGCACGTGCAGTAGGGCCAAGGCTGCTAGATCGTAACCTGGAAGTATGGCAGGTGCACCAGGGGACTCTGGCCCCAGGTTAGGCCCAGCTTATAAAGACTCACTGGTCCCGATGGGAGCGGTGGAACGTAGCAGCAGAGTTTAAAATTCGTCTGGAATAAATGGGTGGGAGGACCAGCAGTGTCTGCGGCAGTCCAGCAGCAGCCGTGCACCTGAGGGTTTGCCTGTGCAGGGGCAGATGGTGGGAACCGCAGCAGCAAGCAGCACTTATCAAACTTGGCTCCTCCAAGCTGGCTAACTTGCCAGAAGGTGGGGACCGGTTCTCTGCAGCAATGACATAGAGGCAGGCCAGAACGACCTGCAGGCAAGACAAAGAAGTTATGAGTACTAGAGCTGAGCAAAGGGGAAGGGGAGCCAACTTCTAGTCTCAGTATGCAGACTGTATTTTGATTTGGTCTTTTACTTCCTGAGCTAAGAAGATATGCCAGTGCAGAGGGTTTTGTTTCCTTTATCTTCAATGCTAGGCAAAGACTTCAGGAAATTGTCTAAACATTCTTTACTTGTGTTCATCATCTGGGAGGCACCAGGCGGGGTGTAGGGGAGGCGGAACCCTGAGACACGTGGCTTGCAGTGTCTGTGTGAGGGCTGTATAAGGGCATTGAAGATCAACCTCTCTCTTTTTTTTTTATAACACCAAAGATATGGCAGGCGAAAACTTACAGTGCTCACGCAGATGCACATACCAGCAAGCTGCCTATGTCCCAAAGAACAAGCATACTCTCTCTGGGTGAGAAGTCTTGTTGGGTAGCAAAAGACAAGCACAGGAGGTTACACACTGCTAACATGTGTAGCTGACATATAGTCATGGGGGACGTAGCCCGAGACCTGTTCCTGCCCTACATTGCAGGGAGCAGCTGTGCAGGGAACCTCATTCAGCCAGGGATAGCGATGATCTGCCTGCTGCAATAAAGGTGGGGGGGTATGGATAGGTGCTGGAAGAAGGGATCTGTGCACAGCTACTGCCATTCCTAGTCAAGCCGGGCTTTCTGCAGCATAAGGCAGGAACTCCACTGCTCTGGGGCTCCTCCTGGGTTCAGATCAGCTGGGGACAGAAGCAGTAGAGGAGATAAGCCCTGGGGGAAGGAAAGGGCAAGTGTTGGGCATGTGGGGCAGGCTGCCTGCCCCCTGCCACTGCTGCTTTTCTAGCCACTGCCCGGATTGTGATCTGCTCCCTGCCACAGCAGCAGGGGAGACAAATTGACAAACCCTCCAATAACTACCATATTTACTCAATTCCAAGATAAAGTTTTCTCTCCCACTTAACATTGGTAAAAAGGAGCCTCATCATGGAATAGAGGGCTATGAACAGAGCTGCAGTTGCTGCCTGCCCCACCCCTGCAGCCATGGGCCTCACACCTCTCCAACCCCTGCAGCCCTTGCTCTTCTCTGCTACTTACCCTTGCTTTGGCAAGCTTTGCCCGCATGCTAGCCTGGGGGTACAGAGTCTGGCTTTTGCCAAAACTGATAGCAGCTGCAGCTCTGGCTGAGCCCTGTCTGGCTGCACTGCCACTGCTCCTGGATCAGGCTGGGGTCAGAGACATTTGTATACAAGGAGACCTCACCAAATACATTGTTTATTATTAAGCTGCTACCAAAAGTAGAATCTGCTCTGTAATGGAAACCAACTATGAAGTTGATTAAGTGCAGCCGGTACACCATAACTATAAAACACATTACCCATATTGAGCAAACACACTGATGGGAACCTGTTTTGTTTTGGGTTTTTTTGGTGTGGTCCTTTTAATTAAAAAAACAAACAAACAAAAACAAAAAAAATAAAAGCAAACCAACAAAAAAACCCTGGATTTACTATGGGGGTAGGGTGTTTGCATGATATTAGATACTGCTATTCAAAAGATTTTCTTAGGACAGTCATGAACCTTGTGACCCTTTGTGCTTCCACGCAAAGGGCTAAAGAGGGAAGTAGCCACAACATTTCTTCTGTCCCCTCCCAGCACTCGATTCAGTCTTCTGCTATAGGAGAGTGTGACCTGCTACTGATTGTTTTCATTTGTAAAATTAGTATTTTTGTTGCTAGTCAAAAAAAAAAAGGTGGAACAAGTGTGTTTTTTGCGCTTCATGTTAGCCACCAAACTAAACTGTAAGAAACTGTCACTTAGCCCATCCTACAAAATGATGTTGGAAGGGCCGGGTCAAGATGTATTCTGTTTATTTTCCACCAGACAGCAAATACCTCATGCTGAGTCATTGATGAATAATGTGAGCTTTGATGTAAATTTGCCTTGTGTTTTTAAGTCATGCATCTTTTCATACAAACATGACATTACGTGTCAGCAGCAGCCTCAAGTATTTTAACTTGCTCTGCTTCCCTGAAAAACATGCGAGCAACAGGGTTCTAATGCCATGTCATGTCCATGTAACGTTGTCACCCTTCACCTACTAGTTCAATGTCAAGAAAGGGGTGTTGTGTATAACAGCCATCCAGGCTATTATGGTCATGTCAAGATCAGGGTAGGGATCAAATGCTGGATCACTTGCGAGCCAGCATCCAGATGGAGGATTGGGTCCAACTTCCTTCTCATCCTCTGTGCATGTGCTGGAGAACTGTTTTCCCCCAGTAGGTGTCTGAACCCTTTCCCCCTCACTGTTCTCTGGGAGCCAGTATTTGGGAATGTCTAACACCTTTTTGTGGGTAACTGAAAACCAACACCATGGAAGCATCTATCAAGCACACGGTTGAAGAGTTGCCATATGTCCTCATTGTGCCTGTCAAGCTTACAGACATGGACACTGGATAAAAGAACACCACCGTTTACCGAAATGTTTAATGAGAATTAATGGAGTGATTCACATCTTTTAAAACTATTGTTTTAATCTGCATTCATCTCTCTGGCATTATTATTCTGCTGACATTAGCATGAGTTGAATGCATCACTTCATGTCTCTCTGGAAACCTGTATCTTGTCAAAAGGTCAATATTTCTAGGTGCTTTAATGTCTACCTGTTTACTAGAATTGTCCTGAAAGTTGGTGCTTGTCTGTGTTACAAGCCTTCTGCTAGCATAGTAGCTGCTCTAGGGAAGCTGCGTGTTTTATAGCTCAGAAAACAAAGGATTACCTTTCAGTTTGCATATGGAAGATGCACCTTAGTGCTCTTCAGTTTAGGTCAGCAGCTGGAGGACTGATGCCAGGAGGGGATGAAGAAGGCCTTCTTGTATGAGAAACTGTCTTGGAAAGTTAGAGTTTCAACTCTAAAGAGGCACTTACACAGAGGCAGAGGTGGATGGATGTAGTATGGTTTTCATGAAGTCTGTTTAGGTTTTGCCTAGGCATTCTGACATGAACACTTTGTCATCTGTTGCAGTTAACAAATAAATGTTTTATTTTAGAGACCCTGCCCATATAGTGTATGTTACATCCAGTTGTACTCCTTCATTAGAGAGGTAACTCCGCCACCCACCACCCACAGGAGTTGAGCTTGCCAGATACCTGTATCTGCATCCATACTAACATACACTTGAAAGAAAAATGGTTGCTTGCTGTGGAGTAATTTCATTCCTTGAGGTGTTTTAGGCATTGCAAGTCCAATGAGTGGCCCTTTGTTGTGTGTCAACAGAAGTCATGGGCTTAACATTTTCAGAAATACTAAGAAGGGTTGTGGCCTTCCCATCTTCACAGGCAACCAGGAAAAGGCAAAGAGTACATGTGTGACAGCCATAAATAGTCAAACGATTCTGAGTTTGCATGCATGTCCCATCTTCATTAAGATAAACAGTCTAGCACTCTTCAGACTTCTAGAAGAAGACATTTTTCCAGATTTCTTAATATTATACTTCACTGAAGTCCAGCCATCTTTTTTGTGATTCTCTCTTGAGCGTAGTTCTACACTTAATCTGTGTTAGGGTACGCCATCACTTTCAATTATTTATCTATTTCTTTAGGCACCAGAATTTTTTGGCTATTACAACTGTTGCTTCATACTGAACAGCTGCTTTCTATTACTCAGTTATGTCCACAGATTTTAATGTTGGTTAGAATCTAACGAAGTTGTAATAAAGTACTTTGGATTGTTTGTTCCCGTGTACATTTCCTTGCATTTGCCAAAAATGTCACTGTGCTCCTGCAGTTTTCTTCATACTCCTACGTGGTCTTAACTAAACTAGATAACTTTTTTGTCTTGTATAAATCTTGTCACATCCTTGCTCTTTAAACACGGCAACTTTAATACACATATCTGAAATGCATTCCCAGTTGCAGTAGCCGTGTCATGATGTGTTCCCCCAGTGAACCTGGGAGAAGAGTTTCCTGGTAAATAACAGAAATGCAAACATAACTCAGCAGTATTCCTAAACATGCATGGTACTTGTACTGTCATCAGGATTCTCTGCAATTAGTAATACACACGAGTGGCTCTTCAATCAGATAGTGGATCAAATATTTTCACTGTTAAAGCTATACATTTTCCATCTTTAGCAAGAGAGTTTAATGAACTCAGTCATGCCCAGAAAACACGAGTTTTCAACTGCTACTTCTAGAGAACAAAAAATACTAGTAACTTCTCTCTCTCTCTTTTAAAAAGCATTTGCCCTTGCTGAGTTGATTGACAATTCTTTGTCAGCTACTTCCCGAAATACTGATATTCGGAGCATACAGATAAAATTGGTAAGATATATAATATGTAAGAGAGCCTACTCTTTCTGATATATTTTTGCATGTTCTATTTTTGAGTGTTTGTTTGTTTGTTTGTTTGTTTTACCCCCCAAACAGTTATTTGATGAATCCCAAGGAAAATCAGCTGTTGCTGTGATTGATAATGGAAGAGGAATGACTTCTAAACAGCTTAACAACTGGGCTGTGTATAGATTGTCAAAATTTACAAGACAAGGTGATTTTGAAAGGTCAGAAAGCCTTTTCATTGTTTTTCACAAAATACAAGAAGTTACAGATTGTGAATTTACAGAACACCATTGAGAAGTTCATGTTCTGATATGTTACACTTCCTTTTTCTTTTCAGACATGGTGTAGACCATGTATATTCCCTAAAAACATACTCAAACATCCACCTAATTCTCTGGTACTGCAAAAGGTTAAAACTAAAAATATTTATTTTCTAACTAAATTAATACTACACAGATGGAAGGAAAAATGGGAGAACATTTTGGACTCTCGCCTTTCCCTGGCTGCCTTGTTTTAGTCTTGTCTCAATCCAGTTAATAGCATTCTTTCCTGTATGGGTTCTTATCAGGCACATTGTCTTATTAACTGAATAGATTCCATTTATTCGTTATGTAGGTGGTTAACATCTGTCACTTGTTTGTCAGAGAAATATGCAGGGGAGTGCTTTTATTTAAGAATTTAATTAATTTTACATGTATACCTGTGGAGAGAAATACCTCCTTCCTTAGGGAATGACGGGGTGGAGTCATAGTGTCAACTGTCTCACAGCCACAGCTTCTACAGTCAGGATCCCCAGTAGTCAGCATTCAACCTTGATTCTGGAAGAATCTTTTTTTCTTCGTTTTCCTTTCCCAAAACGGGGGCGTGTCTTTTTTGGGGGGATGTGTGGTATGCTAGAAAATGTGGTGATACAGAATTAAATTGAGGTATTAGTTTTTATAAAGGGAGGTATTTAGTCATTAGTTTGAAGTCAGGCAGAAGGGTGGCACCTTAAAAACTAAGTGGTTCAGAGATGCCCTAAACTTTTGTAGGCAACAGCCTACTTTGTCATAGCATCTGATGAAGTAGGTTGCTGCCTACAAAAGCATATGCCTTTCTGAACCAGTTTATTTCTAAGGTACCACCCTGCCCTGCTGCCTTTTTATAAGGAAGGTATGGTCAAAGAATTGTATCTTGTGCTTAGAACAAGGATTTTGATGGCTCTTGCTTCTGGGGAAGTTCCTACCACAGTCTTCGCCCCCCCCCCCCCCCCCCAAAAAAAAATCTCTGCCACCTATACGGATGTGATATTTATCCTTATTAGAGAAGTTCCTTTGTTCCAAAAGAAAAAATTGAAAATTTCCAGTTTCCCTTATGGAAATTTTCTAGTTGATCTTTTAGGTATTCTGAGCCCAGGTCACTGTGCGTCTTAGAACATCAAAATCTAAACCTTTGCTTTTTCTATGGGAAGTCAGTGTAGAGTGTGGAGGACGGGTTTGATATGCTTGGGATAACTGATGTGTCGGCGGAGATGTCTTGCATTGGTCTGCATCAACTGGTGTTTTGTGAATATGAAAGACTTTGTGCACAGGTACATTGCATTGTTGTAGTTCAACCAACAGGTGGCAAGTGACATAAAAAGTAGAGGCCTGGTGATTAGGATAGGATGGAGTTTCTTAGCCAGTCAGGATTGATGGTAGTATTACTCACAGATGTTAGTATGTGAGTTTAATATCAGAGAGGAATCTATAAACACTCCTAAGCTGCATGCTGAATTGAACACATCTTTGGTGAGATTTTACTTTCAACCCAAGGTAATCGATGTAGTTGTGAATTACATTATACAGTAACAGTTCATTTCTTGGTTTCCATTTGGGATTGCTCCAACTTGTTTTAAGTGGAGAGGATTTGTCATACCAAATCAGGACATTAGTCCATCAAATTCCATATCCTTAAAGTTAGATTTAAGTACTGAAGGCACTTGCATCCATTTCTGCCGTGCCATGTTTTTTTTAAAAAGCAAGTTCAGCAACATTTCTCTTCTTTCTAACCCCAAGGTATTTTTATAAAAGAACGTAGCTTTATGGAAAAAAATTACTAATTTTCTGATTGGCTCTTCTTTGTACCAGTTTCATGTTTGAAGATATGGCTGTACTCAGAGGAAATTGGGATAGGATTAATGCAACATCTTCTACTATCCTATCACCTTATGCTTTTGCATAAGGGCTTTCACTATAGTGTCAGTTGCACACATCTTTGAGCACATATCTCTTTGCATGGAGCTGACATTTGGGAGAAATGTTTAAGATTATGCCTTGTCTCTTTATAAAAGAATGTTAGCTCAAAAGGAAACTGGGTATGTCTAGTCTTTTCTCTGGTGGTGTATCCATGAAAAGGATGCAAATTGTAATGAGGAAAAAGGTAAATCAAATAAGAGTTAAAATGTAACAAAACTACATGATAGACATGATCCATCAAAAAGGGCAGAAAAGTTATATAAAGGGGTCTTGAGGGTAAAAGAGCTGGAGACCACTCAGTTACACAGCTGTGTTTGTCAAGATACAATGTGTTCTGACTTACTTTTTACTTTTATATATTGATAAAACGAGATTGTGAATATTCATAGAATCATAGAAGTAGGGTCAGAAGGGACCTTGCAGATCTTCAGGTCTGATCCCCTGCCTGGGCAGGAAGAAAACTGGGCTCAAATGACCCCAGCCAGGTTGGCATCAAGCTGCTTCTTAAAGATCCCCAGGGTAGGAGCCAGCACCACTTCCCTTGGAAGTTGGTTCCAGATCCTAGCTGCCCTAACTGTGAAGTAGTTCTTACGGATGTCTAATCTAAACCTACTCTCCAACAACTTGTGGCCATTATTCCTTGTTATCCCGGGGGGGCGCTAGGGCAAACAAGGTCTCCCCCAAACCCTTCTGGTCCCCCCTAGTCTCCCCCTTAATTACCAAGTTAGATTATCTGTTAAATTTAAAATCCTGTGTGGGAGAAAAGTGATTCCAGGATATGTTTACCAAAAATGTGTTTATTTTTATGACATTAGTGTTGGGGGGGGGGGGGGGGGAATCATTAAAGCCAATTTTCCTTTCAGTGACCATTCGGGATATGTGAGGCCCCCACCAGTACCTCGTAGTTTAAATAGTGACATCTCATATTTTGGTGTCGGAGGCAAACAAGCAGTTTTCTTCGTTGGACAGTCTGCCAGAGTAAGTAGAATGATTTGAACATTTTAATTTTTAAAATCATCTTACACATTAGCTGATACAGTTTTACTGTTACCCCATCATTGAGCTTTTTTTATTACTAGTTAATTTGGGGCTCCTAAATTCTTGATTTTTAAATTCTTTTTCTTAATAGATGATAAGCAAACCTACAGATTCTCAAGATGTCCATGAGCTTGTACTTTCAAAAGAAGATTTTGAAAAGAAGGAGAAGAACAGGGAAGCAATATACAGTGGATATATTAGAAACAGAAAGGTAAAATACCCTTGATACTTTGTTCTAATTTTAATTGAATCTCTTTCTCTAATGTGTTATATTTAGTACCTCACTGATTTCTCTATATATCCCACAAACATCAGTTATATTCTGGACTATGAAATATTTTGAAATTTATGGTAGTATTTTATAAAGCATTACTCGTGTATGATTCTTTTACCTTTTTTTAACCTGAAAGACTGTTGATTCAACATTAAATGGCACATTCCCTTTGTCACTTGTATCATCTCAAGGAAAGTACTTTTAGCATTTTCCTACTAAGAACTGAAACTATCATTAACTTTGTATCAAGCCTTTAGGAAATAATTCCCTTTTTCAAGAGTTTGTGGTCTAAATTAGAAATTTCTCCCTCCTGTACCTAGTATATAATAGAGAGCCGCACCTCTGTGTGTATGCCTTTTATGTGTGCACCTCTGTGTCCTATATATATAACAGAGAGCTACATACCTGCAATATGTTACATGTATAGGGAAAGCGAATACCATTGGGGGAAAAACAATATTTGATGGCTTATTGTGGATGAAATGGGTTAAAGAAAAATATAAATGTAGGTAAGTAGTCTTATCCTACTTCTCTTTCCTGATTATTAATTCATTTTTTGCAGGGGAGGGGCACGGTTTGTGCCAGGGTAGATAGGAGACAATAAGGCCTAAGGATAGAGATATAAGGATTATTGGCAAGAAGATAGATACCAAAGATGTATTCAGGACACTGTACATTGCAGGGACCCATTGGGACTGTCTTGAAAATGACAACAAAAAAAATGAAAGTAAAGAACTGGCAGGCTTTTGACATCCTTAGATTCTAAGATTGAAAATATTTGACAGAAATGGGGATGGGGGAGATTGGAAAAAGCTAAAAGAAAAAATCTGGTTTGCCATATTGAGCTTGAGTTACTAACAGTGCACAGGGGGTGAGTTATCAGAAAGGGAGATGTTTTCTATCACAGTGTGTGTTTACATATGTGTGAGTTGGTGGAGAAGCATCAACAAAGAGATGGGAGTTGCAAACAAAAGCAAGCAAATTTTAGTCAAAAGTAGAGGATAGAATTATCAGATTGCCCAAGGATGTTAAGAGCAGCAAAAGTATGGACAACTTACTAATGCAGAAGCCATTAGAATTAGAGAATTAGGTGACCCAAGATCATGAACATTTAGTAGGGGGTTGTTTAGGAATAACAGAGTGGAAAATTGCTGTTGTAGTCAAATTAGAATGAAGTATTAGAGACATTACAAAAAATAAATAACGTACAGAAAACTTTGAGTGGTCCAAGCATGAAAAATGAGGCAAAACAGTCAAAGTATTTGGATAAGCAGCTCAAATGTGTAAATAATGGGAAGGAAGATGAAATCAAAGGTGGGTGTGAGCAGTTCAACATTCAAGTAAATTAAACAAAAATAATCCTGTTAGTTTGCACAAAAGCTATCAGAATTAAATGAGAATGAATTTATAGTTCATGTGCAGTTGATGTGGTCCCTTGGCTGTGATCTTCAGCAGGGAAGTAGAAGGACAGCTGGATATAAAAGAAAAGAATCGGGGTATGGAGATGAGGAGAGTGACAAAACAATGAATGTAAATCAATGAAACTTAGGTAGATAGACCTTGGAATTGGAGGGGGAGCTAGTGGATAAAAGGAAGTTTGGGTGGATCGGCGAAAATCAGAGATGAAAATTTAATATTTTGGGCCAGTGCAATTAGGCTAGGATATGGGACAAAGAGATTCAATGTCACTGATGGCAGACCTGTATCGGGTGTCATCTTCCTGGAGCACTCTAGCATTCAGCAGTCAACCATGAGAGTGCCACTGTCCCACCTGAAAGATGCAGGAATTCTAGGAACTATATTTAAAACCTTCCTGATGGGAAATACCGAAAATAGCAAAGTGAAACGTCGTATCTGTCATTAGACCCTTCCACCCTCTTCCTTAGTGAAGTCCCACAAAAATTACATCTCTGCTTCCTTTCAACGATCTTCATTCAGCCATCCAACAACTGATCTAATGACAGGCTAATGTGCCAGCAATATGCTGATGATGATGACAAACCACTCTACTTATTCTTACCTACAACCGCACTTCAAATAAATCATTTCATTTCTCAGTGCTGGAGGAAATATGCATGGAGATGAAAAGCTGGTTGAAGCTGACCTGAACAAGGTGGGAGGTTATTTGCTGGTGAGCAAAGAACCTGGTAGAGTGTCTAAATGTCCACACTGACAATTGATTAATTTAGTGTATTAGGTAAGGATTGCTCTTAGGTTTCCTGATTCCTTTCTGACACTATGGTCTATGGAAAAATTGCATTTACCTTGTAATTAATCACTTAATTAAATTGTAATATGCTATACATTCAGACAGTGTATTACCCGATAATTTGCTGCAAAAATGGTGATCCAACCTCAAAGATGTTACTTGTTAAAAGAAGCTTAACATCCTGGCTTACTCGGACCTTCTAGTCTTCCTTACCTGTGAGCCCAGCCAACTCCAGAGGATGCTGGATATTGGCTTGGAGACATCCAGTGGATGGGGCTCCACTTTAGCACCTCCAAATATTCCTCCCAGTATATAGACAGCAGGAAACAAATGCTATCCTGGTTACTGACATCAAGATTCAGGGTGAACCCATGAGGCATCTGAAGGAGAGGTGAGAGCTACCTCTACCTGGGCACACTTGCAAACCACTGAGATTGGATACCAGAAGACCATCTGTGGAATCTTGCAAGTTACCCACAAAGTTGACTCCTCCCTGCTGGCCCCCTAGCTAAATCAACGCCTTAAATACCTTCCTTATCCACTGCATCTTGTTTGTCCTGAGAGACTCAGAAGTCCCCAAGATACCTCTCAAGAAAGCAGATGAAATCAAGCAGCTTGTCAAGAACCAAATGAGCCTGTCACTATGGGCTATCAGTGAGATCCTGCACATACATTGGTGGGGTGCTAGCATCCCTCGCATGGGAAACCTGCGATGTCACAGTAGTTATCAATGCCTTCCAGCTCCAAACCTGCCCTGATGCCCTGGTGAGGAGCCTTAATATCAACCCTAAAACAGATCACCAAGAAGAGGATTGCCAGGCTGCCATTCCATAAGGATCTGGCCAGATTCCTGAGTGAATTGCTGGAGGGTGAATTGGGGTGATACAGCAGGTACTTTTCCTTGCTGTGGAACTGAGTCTGCAATGCCATGCAGTCCATTGGCTGCTGCTGGACATAGTGCAAGGAGGTGGATGCCAGCAAGCACTTCATGGACTCGTGCTTTATCCACTGGGCCTGTTTCAACTGCCTCTTGCTCAATGGTGCCATTCACTTTGGATAACATGATAGAAGGTGCTGGAGATGCAGGGACCAGTGAGACCCTGCCCCATGTCTTGTGTGACTATAAGCCCTATGCAACAGGACTGGCTGGTGAAAGCCTTCTCCACAACAGTTGGGACAGTAGCTGTGAACCGCATGGTCCCAGGCTGTGACAGGTGACCGCATCCAGATACTGCGGTGATAGATGAGGAGAACATAAAGCTTCCGATGATCATCTTGATCATCCAGTTCAAGAACTGGTGGCAGGCTTTTCTCTAAGCTCAGAAGTAAAAGCCAATCAAGCAGGCCACAGGCTGATACTCTGAGGGAGAAATGGTATGATGTCATGGTACAGGTGCTGACCATTGAAGCACTTGGAACATGGGACTCAAATAGTGAGTGTCCTGTGAGCCTGAAGGGTACCTCTCAACTATGCAAAACTGATGTGGCACTTCATGGTATCCAATATCATCCAATTGTCAAGAGACACCTATGTTGAACACATAACGAGTCACTGCCAGTACAAAGAACCCTTTTTCCCCTCTGGTTATAGCTTGCTCTGTAAACCTGACTGAAGCAAGTCACATGGTGTGACAGTTCCATTGAACAATATTACCGGTTGCTTGATGGAAGTGTCAAGTGCCAAGGTCCTTAGCTCTGCATAGCGCACAGTGTATTTTCTGTCACTTTTTAGTTGGCTTAGAGACCCCATCCCATCTTGGAAAACAGTGACTTAGCCCCATATGTACATCTTTTTGTCACTTGCTCCAGGAGTACAATATACCTGAGCATGAAACTATAGGAAGCTCCAGCTGGTACAGAACACTGTGTTACACCTCTGCAGCAACACAAGAGTACAGCAGACCTACCATATTTGTCCTTGTGTAGTCTGGCTTCCTATAGAATAACTGTCCAACTCTCATCCCATGGGTCACATGTGGCCAGAAGGGGGTTTGCCATTCTCGCTTCAGTAGAAACTAGGGTCCCTGGGCTCCCCTATCTCTCCTTCAGCCTCGATTCCCTGCCCCTGCCTCAGGAGGTGTGATGCAGGATGGCACAGCACAGCTGGCAGTACCAGGGGAACCTACAACTGGGGAACTAGGGATGCAGGCCAGGATCAACCCATGGCATGACAGGGTTGCCTAGAAGTTGGATAGCTTTCATCACAGTCCTTGTTTTCAAAGTGCTCAATGGTCTGGACCCAGAATATATAAAAGATTTACCTAATTTCAGGATGGCAGATCATAGTTAACAAATATGCACCCTTTGCAAAGTGAAACTTTTTTACCATAAAAGTAAAGGTTATCCTTTAAGGAGATTGAGACTCTGGAACAGACTTCCATATTCCAATGGGAATCAAGGACCATCACGGCTAAGGATTTGACATCTTCTGTTGCATGCACAAAGTACACTTCTTTAGTATTACCTTCTCCAATGGAAATATGGATCAACTGTAGCACGGGCGTTGAACCTCAGGCCTGCAGGCCAAATGTGGCCTGTGGGGAGCCCCCATGGGTTGGACAACTTGGCAGCAGGGAGTAATAGAAACTCCATGTGGCTGGCTCCAGCCTCACCCAGGCCATTGCCCACAAAGGGGGATCAAGGCTGAGCCCTACCCCCACAAATCCAGATCAGGACCAGGCTAGTTCCTGTATTCTCCCCCTGCCACCCCCCCCAGTGTGCCCAGATTGGGGCCGGTCTGCTTCCCACCCCACCCCTGTCTGGGTACTACTGAACTATATCAACAATTATCGTCTTTAAAAACGTTTTGGCAAATTAACTACTCATGACACATGAGTTGTATGATTTTAATGCGTTAAATGATGAAGGTAATCATTCATTATCAGGGATCTGGCTTTTCTGCTTCCCGCCGAAGAACGGAATAAACCGTGGATTTTACCTCTTACTGGAGGCAAACGTAGATTTCTCATTTTACTGGAGAAGCCCATGGATTTTGCAGTTTTGCAACAAGCTCCCTGCAGGCTGGCAGGGTTCCAGCCTGCGGGGGGCTGGGGGGAGCAGGACGAGGGCATTCAGGCAGGGAGCACCATGTGCATGTACACACACGTGGCCTCAGGCAGCCTGGAGAGCAGCTCCTGCAGATATGTAGGCAGGGATTGAGGCTTCCATAGGGAGGGAGTTGGGGAGGGCTGGGGCTGCTGCCCAGTCGGGAGGTCTGTGGGGCTTGAGGTCTGGGGCCACAATTGAGGGCCCCAGTGGGGAGCAGGGTGGGGCCGTGGGCAGCTTGCCCAGAAGTGAACAGTGGTAGCTCCCTGCCACTGCATGCACTCCTGGGAAGCAAAGGGGACCTGTGCCCCTCAGACCTATGCGTGGGGCAGGGGGGCTGTCCCTGCTGCTTTGTGCACTCCAGGGGGGACCTGTACCCCACAATCTGTGTGGACCGGGGGATGCACATTGCCTGCTTCAGGCTCTGGCTCCCACCCTGCTGCCTGCCCTAGGGCTTCTGCATCCCGGTGGTGTGACCCAGAGCTACGAAGAATAGCAGAGCCGTGCAGGAAGCTGCCTGCCGCTGCAACTTTGTGCTGCCCTGGCCCCTGCATGCAACCCTGTACCACCACCCCTGTTGCAGCCAGGCAGGCAGAGGACACCTCACCAAGGCAGTGCAGAGCTTGCAGCAGCAGGCAGCTTCTTGCACCGCCCTGCTGTTCTTTGCAGCACCAGGCTACAGAGGCCCTGTGCGGGGGAAGGCAGGTCGGAGCCCAAGCCTGAAATGGACAGTGCGCAGCCCCCAGCCCATGCACAGATTTAGGTGACACTGGTTCCCTCTGGCTCCTGGGAGTGTGCGCTGCAACAGGGAGCTACCCCCCTGAGCCTGCAGCAAGCGGGGTGGGGGGCAGCAGACCTGGGTCCTTGGCCCTGTAGCCCTGGCAGCTCGGGGACTGCTCCAGCAGCAGGGCTGGGAGAGCAGGAGCCGGGGGGTGGGGGGAGGTTGTGGGGGGTGCCGGTGGCCTCGCCCCCACAGCGTCCTGACCCCACTCGTTCCCCCCCTCCCCCCGCTACTGCTGCCACCTCCAAGGAGCAAGGGAGTGGGGGCAAGGCCAGCTCCAGTAGGCTCGCCCTTCCTTCTCCACTCGATTGTCGCCACCTGCAGGGAGCAGGATAGGGCAGGGCAAGGCCAGCACCGTTGGCCTCACTCCCCCATTCCGTCTGCTCCTGCCACCGCCCCCAGAGAGCAGGGTGGCCTCCATCCCCTGTGTCCACACCATCATGGCAGCACACCACCACCTCCTGTCCCAACGCTATATTCACGCTCTGGCTGTTTCAGTCAGCCAATCATAGTGCAAATAAAGCGTTATGGACAGACAGACAGATAGACCGGTGAAGGCTTTTATAATATTAGAATGCTGAAAGGCTGTTTCATTTGGTAATTTAATTGAACCATTAATGTCTTCCAAGTGCTGTCTGACATTGCAATAGTATTCTGGATTTTTTGCATCCATATGCTGGTAGGACTTTTTTTTTTTCTTACCTGTTTCTGAGTGATATACAGTTGCATTTTTTATTTGTTTATGTTTTCCTTTATTTTTAGCCAGCTGATTCTACTCACATCACCACTGATGATGAAAAATTCCTACATAACCTCATTATTGAAGAAAGGGACAAGAAGAGTTTCACAGCAGTTGTTATTACAGGTGTACAACCACAACACATACAGTACTTGAAAAACTATTTTCATCTTTGGACAAGGCAATTGGCGTAAGTCAGCAGTACTGCCTTATTGAAAAGCAGGGGAGTGGGAGCAGGTGGGGAAGGAGGTTGTACAGGAAGAACATTTCTGTCTTTTAAAAAGGAAGTGAGTTAGGAGTTGGGAAGGTTGGGAAGTGAGGTTGGGTTGGGCAGAAGGAGGGCACTTAGGTGAAAAGCAGGAGGGTAGGAGATGGAGTGGGGTGGAATTTTTTTAATTTTAGGGTATTGTTTAGGGTGGCTGTTTCATTATATACTATGTACTCTATGGCATAAAGTGCATACTTGGCAAGTTTTCAGATTATACCATACTGGGGGGAGTAATAGACTGGAGGGCTGGGCTAGGATTCAGAGTGACCTAGACAAATTGGAGGAATGGGGCCAGAAAGACTTGCATGAAGTTAAACAAGGAGAAATGCGAAGTCCTGCACTTGGCACAGAACAATCCCATGCACTAGTACAGGCTGGGGGCTGACTGGCTGCTTAGCAGCTTTACAGAAAAAGACCTGGGGGGTTATAGTGCAAAAATAGCTGAATATGAGCCAATAGTATGCCCTTGTTGCCAAGAAGGCTAACAGTATCCTGGGCTGCATTGGTGGGAGTGCTGCCAGCGGGTCAAGGGAAATGATTATTCCCCAATATTCAGCACTGGTGAGGACACATCTGGAGTACTGTGTCCAGTTTTGGGCCCCCGACTGCAGAAGGGACATGTAGGATTGGAGAGAGTCCAACGGAGGGCAACAAATGATGAGGGTGCTGGGGGACATGACTTCTCAGGGAACTGGGCTTATTTAGTCTAGGGAAGAGAAGATTGAGGGGATTTAATAGCAGCCGTCAACTACCTGAAGGGGGGCTCGAAAGAGGATGGAGGTAGACTGTTCTCAGTGATGGCAGATGACAGAACAAGGAGCAACAGTCTCAGGTTGCAGCAAGGGAAGTTTAGGTTGGCTATTAGGAAGCATTTTCTCACTAGGAGGGTAGTAAAACACTGGATGAGTTACCCAGAGAAGTGATGGAATCTCCATCCTTGGAGGTTTTTAAGACCCAGCTAGACAAAGCCTTGGCTGGGATGATCTAGTTGGGGATGGTCCTGCTCTGAGCAGGGGGTTGAACTAGATGACCACCTCAGGTCCCTTCCAACCGTGAAATTTTATGATTCTATCTTATTTTAATAATATATTCTGTTTCTAAAATTTGTTTTATATTGTATTGTAAACTGCCCTTACCTTGTTTTGTGAAGAGCAGCATATCAGTTAATAATATATAAATTTAAATATTGCATACATGTAATTGTAATATTTATTAGTTACGTTTTTAAGAGGCCAGGTCATAATATCATGTTTTTTGTAATTTGTGTTTGGATATTCTATTGATAATGGTCATACTACATATTTTAGTAATACAAAAATGTTGGAGTCTGGATTGGTTGTTTTGCTGTGCTGATCCTGTGGGAAAAAAAACAAGAAAACAGGAGGCCTACCCAGACAGTTGACCTTAAGTGTCCTTTAATGAAATGTTTTTATGCATTTGCTAATTTTACATGAGTAGTCCCATTGACTTCAGTGCATGAGTAATACAGGTGCACCAATACATCAGTCTACTATTGGATCGGCACCAATATAAAGAAAATGGAGTGCATCAGAAATTGGCCTGATGTGGCCAATAATTTGGCCAATAAATGCCTGTGCTTGCATGCAGCCTCAGTGCGGCACATAGGCAGCAAGGAGTGTATCCCAGCAGCTTGAAGAGCTGCGTGCAGCTAGTAAGTCTATTGTGGTGAAAGGGAAGTGTGGGAGGGAATGAGTATGGGGGTGCGGATCAAGGCCCCTGCGGTGTGAGAGGGAGTGGGGCAGGGGCTGGAGCAGGCACTACCCTGCTGGGGTGGGGTGGGCATAGGATGGAGCCATGGATTGTGTGGGGACAGGGGGCCCCCTGCCTCTGCGAACATCCTAGGAGGACACCGGGGGGAGGGGGGGATGGACACGTGTGCCCCCCGGATTTGCGCAGGGTGTGGGTGGGGTGGGCTGCAGTTGCAGGCTGGGGCTGTGCTGGACTCTTCCTGCTGCATAGAGGGGCATGGTTGGGCCGGAGTTGTGCTCAGGGTGGATGGAAGCGGCAGCATTGGAAGGGAAGCTATGGGAGGGCTATGGGGAAATTGGGGATGGCTGCAGACTTCCCCTCCCCCCATAACCCCCTCGCAGTGCTGCCCCTGCCTATGCAGCCTAGCCCAGCCCTGGCTGGGAAGAGCCTGGTGTGGCCCCAGCCCGCAGCTGCAGCCCATCCCACCTGGGCCCCGCACATATCCAGAAGCACATCCCTCCCCTCCCCAGGTTGCACACAGCAGCAGGAGCCATCCCCCCCCACCTCTTTACACCCTCCCTCCCAGATGAGCCACGGCTCCATCCCGACCCTGCCCCACTCCTTTCTCACTGCAGGGGCCTTGATCTGCCCTTCACCCCTTCCCTCCACGCACCCCTTCCACCACAACAGATTTACCAGCTGCGCGCAGCTCTCCGTGCTGTATTGGAAATCAGATCAGTATTGGCCGATTATGCCTCTTTAAAAATCAGCTATCCGTATCAGCCCCCAAAGTCTCTATCGGTGCACCCCTAATGAGTAACACTATGGAAGAAACGTATAGCTTTAAAGATGGTAGAACTTTTCTGTATATGGTAATTTAATTTTTTTGAAATCAGGTATGTTAACAGCATTTATATTATAAATTATACTTCAGTCCCTTTCTGCTACTAAGTAACCTAACACTTTCTAAGTCTATAAATACAATCTGTATGAAATCTCATTGGAAGGGGTCTATTTAAATTGCGGTAATTTTCTCAGGGTGTTTGTAGCATAAAGAGCAAATTCCACGGATATTTCCTGGATATGCTCCAGCAGGCCCGCCACTGGGTGCTGATTGGCAAAGAGGCATATACCATATAATTTAATAGCAAATTCCATGGAAAATAAGTTATACCATATAATTTATCATATTATTAGACTACAGAATCCCAAAACTCAGTTGCATTTAAAGGCATTTGGCATTCTTTGACAAAGTTTATGTAAGCAGCACATTTGTTATCATGTTCTTTTTGCCATCTAGGAATTGATTTAATTAGCTGAGGGTCAAGTGTCAGAAAAAGCACCTGATTTGCATAAAAAATGTGAACAGCACTAAAAAAAGTAGGCAGCCGCTTGTTTAAATCAAGAGCGTAGTGACTGATTGTATTTGTAGTACTGATTTAACTTTGCAGCTGTTGCCTGGAACACTTCTTATCTGTGCTGGCTTTCAGTTTGACAGTCTGAAAATTGTTGCGAGTGCCATGTCTTTGACCCAGCTTATCAAATCCACCAGTTTTTATGTGCTTTGTGAATCAAAACCTGCCGATTTTCAAACCACGTTAGATGCTCCACGAACTAGATCGCATTTTCAGGCACAAACTTAATTCGATCTTCAACGTTGCCCTGTTTTAAGAGATTGCATAGTTTAAGCATATACTGTGTTTCAGGTATGATTTCAAGCTCATTGCGCACACATTCCTGGTGGTACTTAATCTTTGCATGGTAACAAACTTCATTAAACCATAAATTCCACCTTGTAAACACTGGTTCTGGTGGAAGTGACACAGTTGCATTTAGATCCCCACTTTGATTGGCAATCCCCATATCAAAGTTTACAGCCTGATCAATATTTGAATGCTTTTTTAAAAGAGGGAGCCAGGATATCCACATCAGAAAAACGTGCATGCCAGATATCACTTCCTAAAGAGAATGTGTGTATTGTAGGTAACATGAATTGGGTTGGGCATTACTCTATGGAGCACATTAGTGAAAGCTTTGCACATATACATTGCATTATCAGAGAGAAATAATGAGATCTTGTTAAATTTGAAGCTGTAGTTTACAACAGCCTTCACTACAGCTTGTGCTACAGTTAAAAACATTTATAGACTTGAGCTGAACCAGCTCTGTTTAAAAAACAGATAGGTCATTGTCTTTCCAGCTCCCAGGTATGAATAAAATGTTTTCCTGTGCATCTGTTGCTTTATCTGCTACAACTGAAACAGAATCATATTCTGCCCATTCAGATTTTGTAGATTGAAGTACTTTGGTACTTTGTAGTACCAAAGTACTTTTGGTAGATGAACCTGGCAAAATTTGTTTGCATGTGGGAAACATCCAGCATTTGGAAAGGGCTTGTTAAAGTACTCCCTTAGTTTCGGGTTATCCGTTTTTTCCAAAGATCTGTTGGCATCAGTGAATGTCTCCACTAACTCAAATGTAGCTTCTCTTTTTGTTAAACTGCTTTCAGTGGGTCTTTTAAACATTGAGGTTATTGTTGGTTGTTTTTTTTGTTGTGACCTGAAGCCTTTCACTTCATATGCAGTTCGGACTCTAAATGGCAGTCAGTGCTGTTTTTTCTCAATGCATCTCAAGTCACATTGCAAAATGAACAAAATAATTTACCACCATCTGAATATAAGGTTCCTACAGGGAACTGCGTTACATAATCCTGAGCTAAAATGTATTTAGCATTTTTATTTATTTTCAGTCTTCAGACTTCAAACTACTGCATTTAAGATGGCGCTGAAACATTTCACTCTACCTTATTGACTGATGCCTTCACTTGGTCTAGGTTACTGCAAGTAAACAGTAACTCTCAATCATGTGATCTATGACTGTAGTGATATTATTGAATTGTCTTTGTATTGCAGTAAGCATTGGGACATTCTAAAACAGCGTATTACAGGAATAATGCACATATTATTTTTAAGTTGATTTCTCAGATAATCCCATATTTTCTGGTTAATAGGAGACAATCCCATATTTTCCATGCAGTCTGTGGAACCATGATTTAAGTAGGCTCCTACTCATTGGCCACCATAGGTAAAAACTTATTTGCAACTGATGGCTGTTCTGCATTGAAGACCAAGTAAAAAAGTTTGCAGATGCTTGTAAAGAGGTTTGACTTTATACAGTCATATGGTTTCAATGACTTGAATTTGTCTGTAAATAATTATGTAGGCTTTAACAAGGCTGCGTATGTAGCTAAAGTTAGGCATGTCCAAAAGTCTCCTTATTTGAAACCTGAATGGTTGGTTTATTACTGGTTCATTGGAGTAAATGAACTACTTGCATACATTTAGTCCCTTAAGTAAAAAGTATGAAAATGCTTGTGAAGGGGTTTGATTTTTTTTTTTTTTTTTTAATACACGTTCCTAAGAATGCTGAAAACAGTACAGAATCTAACAGATTGCAGGTTTTTAGGACTTCTGAATATCAGACCAAGGAAGAATTATAGCTTGACAGATTTCTCTAATGCTTTAGTCCTTTCTCCCACAGACCACATACACATTATCAGTTTATATGGTTATTACTGCACTGTATTGCCTTTTTGTGTGTTAAAAAAAAAAAAAAAAAAGGAATTGTGACATGTTCTAGCTTTTGTACTTGAGCATTTACACACATGCAGTGAGCCTGCTCCAACATGCTGGAGCATGTAAATTGATACACTTTGGCAGCCTCATGCATCATGTGTATCAGTGGTGCAGCACACCTCTGCTGGGAAAATGGCGGTGGTGCACTTTGAAATAAAACACACTCAATATGCTTTAGTTCAGAGCACACCACTGGCAGCAGGAAACTCCCACAGGGCTTGGAAACACTGGGGGCTAACCCCGGTGTTCCCGAAAAGGAGAGCAGGGCCACCCGTGCCCCGGGAAACTTACCTCCCAGGCAGGCTAGGGCAGAGGGAGAGCCATGTGAGCCAATATTTTGCCGGTTCTTCAAGCAGCTGCTTCCCGGGCGGGGTAGAGGCCAGCTACTTGTCAGCTGGGGCCACTGCCACGGGAGATTTAAAAACCCTGCCGGCTTCCGGCAGGGAGGGAAAAGCCAGCTGGGAACACATTGGGTGTGCCGAGACTCGGCGTGT